ATCCAGTCAGTGGTAGCAAACCACTTGTGGTTCTTGATGTCGTTGACCCCGTTTTTGAGGTTGCCAAAGCGTTTGGTGAGGTCCACCTGCAGCAGGTTCCGGAGCAGGTCCTTCAGGTCCGAGCTGAAGTGAGACGGGAACCGGACCTGGGGTGGGGAGGAGAGACAGAGGTCTGGCTTTTACCTGCCCTGCCCTCATGGCTAGATTCATAGATAAACCTAATAATGTACAGCCCCTAGCACAGAGGGGTCCTGGGCTATGCCTGGGCGCTGAGGCACTACCATAATACACCTAATATGTACATCACCTAGCACAATGGGGTCCTGACCCATGACTGGGGCTTGTACGCACTATCATAATATACACCTCATAATAAATAACAAGCCCTTTAAAAACACTCCAGGACAACGAGTGGACAAGAAGTGGGGGCGCTACTGAGGACTGACACAGGAGCTGAAATGGTTAATTAGCAGCCGCCCCCCAGCTCTTATTGAGCATTTTTCCTCCACAGATCTCAAAGCAGGGCTGCCGCATCACTATCCTCATTTTACGTAAGGGGAAACTGAGGCACAGGGGGACGTGACTTGCCCACGGTCACTCAGCAGGCTGGTAGGAGAACCGGGAACAGAACCCAGGCCTGTTGAGTTCCCCACTAGCTTTAAAGCTGACCATGTCCAACACGAGTGCTTGGAGATCCTTGGCGAGAAGGCGCTGGAGTGGGCAGAGGAACATTATGGGCTCTTGGTTACTATGGTTATGAGTGCTGTACCAGTGCCTGGAGATGACTGATATGTTTAAGGAATGTTTAGTGTAGCAGGGTTGTGGAGGGTTTTGCAACTCACAACAGTGTATAAGAAAACCAAAGGCACCTGTTCCAGGAGTCCCCATGAGAGTTACAGGGTGGTGGGGTGGGGGATGGAGTCCATGTGTTGGGGAAATAGGGGCACGTGGCGAGAGAGGGTCCATGTGTGGGGGGCACAATGGGGACGATGTCCATGCGTTGGAGAACAGGAGTACGTGGCAAGGGAGGGTCTATGTGTTGGGGTGCAGGGGGAATGGGGTACATGACAGGGAGGATGCCCACGTGTTGGGGATTGGGGGAGCATGGGAGGGCATGAGCATGTCGAGGGTGCGAGCACCTCTCTGATCAGTCGCTGAGACTTGGCACCCCCCTTTACCTGGCGATCTCCGCCCCCCCAAATCACACAAGTGTCCCCTCTCCCAGCCCAAATACCTTGCCAGAGACAATCTTCTCATAGATTTGAATGGGCTGGTCCGCGAAGAACGGGGGGTAACCAGCCGCCATCTCGTAGATGAGGACGCCCAGGGCCCACCAGTCCACAGCCTTGTTATAACCCTGCCCGGGGAAAGCAGGCCAGGGTCACGCACCAAACATTTGAGGGTGGGGGGAACCACCTGGTGGCCAGGGATCAGATGGAGATCAGGCAGTGGAGAGGCCCTCCCCAGCTCACCTTGCTGAGGATGATCTCGGGGGCCAGGTATTCCGGGGTCCCACACAGAGTCCAGGTTCGGCCTTTCACCCGCTTGGCAAAACCAAAATCCGTCACCTGGAGCCAAAACACAGAGAGGGGAGAAGCTGGATCAGCCTGGAGGCTGTGACAGCAGAAGGGGAAGGGGGGAGAGATAGCTCAGTGGTTTGAGCATTGGCCTGCTAAACCCAGAGTTGTGAGTTCAATCCTTGAGGGGGCCATTTA